GGCAGATATTTTCTGTATACTGACAAAAAATGGATCTTGAGATGTATAATAACGACATCATCAGTCATGATTGGCCGTTGTCTTCTTGTTGGTTTGTTCCATTGCTGTTTTCTGAATTAATAAATCGATTAAAGTTTTGAATTTGTCTCATTCTCAAGCGTCGTGAGTTCTATTGAATTTCAATTTTTCTATGATAATTGAATATAATTTAACATACCTCTGATGTTGACACATATGTAGTGATGAATGATCACGTGCAGGTTCCACTCATTGCAAAACTTTGTGTGTATATACCGTTTAACAGTGACCAAAATTTGTTAATGTTCCTAACTGTTGTAGTTTGATAGTTATACCTAATCTGATAAACATGATGACTTTGGTTTATTCTAGCGTCAACTTCCCTTATCTATGTAACAATATACCATTATCATCTGTATATGGGTTTATGTCTCCCAGTGAACATTTTCGGAATCTCAGACACCTGACATCGCACTGCGGACAGCGGACTTGCGAACAAAGACAACTTACGGTAAGGGTATACAAATACGTTTTAACATTTACCTGAGAATTTTCTTTCATTATCTCTGACATCTATTAAAACGAATATATTGAAAACAATTAAATAGGTCAGAACTGTGGGATTGGTAGAGATTAAAAATAGTTTGTTTTTTTTTGTTTTTTTTTTTACAAACAAAATTTTACAAACAACTAAACCGTCACATTAATTGATCATAATTAAAGTCATATATAGCGTTTTTTTTTATAAGTTCAGACTAACTTAAATTAAAAAGATTACTTTATATAAAGAGAGAACTTTCCTGTAAATCACACAATTTAAATCAATCGCGTTTCATAGATATTATTAATTTAAAACAATAATTAACCGATTTATTTACCGACTCCGCATTTAATTAACACACAGTTTAAAATCAATTTGACAATGAAAACATGAGGTTCAAGTTCAAAATCAGTAAAAATCTTAATTTGAACGTAAACAACATATCATGTTTATCTACACTCAATCGCGTATTTTTAATTTTAGTTCAGATACGCCATATATATAGCTTTAAATATGTGTATCTTTACATCATATGCAATGGCGGATTCATATGGGTAACGGGAAATGCAACCCCCTCCCTTTGAATTTGGAAGAAATAAAAAAATAATAAATGAGGATTTAGTCTTTATTTTCTTAGGTGTAACATGTTTATGAATTAAAAGTTTTAAAATCAGTAGTTATATATCAAAGCCCAGTGCTTGTGCCCCCCCCCTTTAAAATATCTTGATCAGCACATGATATGTGGAGTACGAAATAAGCTGTATGTGATGTTATTCACGTTTAAGACACTGGTAATATGTTATTGTCCAAAGTTATTATTTCCCGAGAAAGTACTTTTTTTAAATTAAATGTTGTATGTCCACAAACACTTCCTTAAACAAAATTTATTATATAATATATTTTACAGTGACGTTATTACGGAAGCCGGTTGGTGCCAGGTAGAAAAAATATTTTATCTGGCGGCCGCCAGATAAGTTTCTGGCGGCCACCAAATAATTATCTGGCGGCCGCCAGATAATTATTTGGCGGCCGCCAGATAAAATATTTTTCTACCTGGCACCTACCGGCTTCCGTACGTTATAACTTACTTTGACAGATTTTTTTTCTTATTTAAAGATCATGCGCTCATTAAGGTATCTATATCAAGATGCAAGTCCTTTACATTTTCTTAGTTCTTAGAGATTCCTGCTTTCTATTTGTTGTTGGGAAAATGGTGCCACTGGAATAAAACAATCAAATAATCTCTTGGGAAAGGGGGCAAATCATTATTTTAGGAAAAGTTGGTGGAGACCTCTTCTCCCTCAATACCACGTGCATGTATACACTTGTACAATGTAGAGTAGTGTTAATCATACATATAAGAACGAAATGTGATTATCGAGTACAATTAATCAAGACTACAAAATTTATTTATATTATTCACTTTTTGACACGTTCCCTTACGTGAAAAGTCCGCTGTCTGAAGTCAATTGTCGGGTGTCTGAGATTCCGAAAATGTTCAGTTGCATGTTCTACCTACGATCAATTTCTAAAAAGAGACAGGCTTTTAACGAGTAAGTTAGTGATACAAGGATATAAAAAATCTTTAAAATCAGCATTTTGCAAATTCTATGGTCGATACAATGACTTCGTTTGCAACTACAATCTGTCGTGAAGTCAAGTGTTTACTAATATCTTTCAGGCAAATTGTAAAGCCATTGTTTTCGCAGTGAGTTACTACAGATTTTTTAATCTTTACCTGATCATGACAAACAACTCACAGAGGGTGTGACCGGTTCAAGGAGGCTACTCTCTCCCCAATGGCACCTGGTTCCACCTCTGCTCACAATTCTTATTGTTTGACTTTGAGTATGATTACAATTCGTAATCTTCACATTTCATTACACCCCTGCAAATCATAGTTAAGAATTTGGCGAGAAACTGTTGCACTTAACAGTTTTCTAAGTAAGAGAGTTTCTATTTTTAAAAAATACAAAAAAAATTTCTTTGCAAAAGCAGAATTTTTCAAAACACAGAGCCCTTTTATCCACGAGTATTCAGACGCAAAATGATACTGAAATTATTTCATGTATGTTTATGAATTGAAGCTAAGCTAGCATTTACACTCCTTTAATTTGTCAACATTGATAAAATAGACAATAAAATTACTTGATACAACTGATTGCGAAAGTGAAAGTGAAAGATTTGCCTATACATGTATATAGCTATTAAATATTAAGTTTTAGTACCTGTAAAATTAAGTTTGAATTCTGCTATAGCAAATTGCATTTTTCATTTGTTAATTTGTATACGTGTATATAAAAACTCCTAATCGGAAGACTATTGGGTCAAAAAGTTTTTTGTCAATTACATAGCTATTGTTTGCGGGGGTGAAACTCACATGCCACAACAATTTGGAGCATTTACATATTTTGGACGCTCTTAAAACCGTTTCTTCAAACAAAAGTTTTCCTTTTGTAGAACCATTAAACGAATGTCCAAGTGATATGTTCCTTTAATGGCCATTCTTCTAAAGGTATACATGCACTATAATTAATAATACTTACAATCCTAATTGGACAACGAAAATTAATAATGTAGTTATCATTTCTGCAGAGAAAATTAATAATGTAGTTATCATTTCTGAAAAAAATTATTTCCTAAAGTTTACAAAATTGACAATGATCCTTCTAAAGAGGACACATTGGAGGAGTAATCAACCAGTCATATTTTGGATTTTGCATTTAACTTAAATTTTATACTTGAACTATCACTTTAAAGATGTGTGAGCAGTTTGTTCTTCGGCCTTATTTTTTATTAAGCAATCTTAATTTAGCATTTATTTATACATCAGAAAAAGATCAGAGAATTTTTTTAAATTTGTGTGTAAATATTAGACTGTCTCGTGTATACTAAAGCAACATTGACCTTAATATTTGAGTATTGAATAAATCTGATAAAAGAAGGGAAAAAATCTCATTTTTGCTTTCATTATCACTGAAATTCACTTCATGTCCCTTTCGAAAGCAAAATTTATTGTAATATTTACTCGAAATGCTCCGGGAAAAAAAATCTTTAAAATGTTATCCTTTATTTTATTATCGACTAAATACTGTCCCGGGGAAAAAATTAAGATTATTAAAAATTAAAAAGATTTCTTTTCAAAAACAGGTACTGTTATGCTTTTTTAGCAAAAAATATTTTCATATGACAGTTATTCCAATTCAGAGTATAAAACATGAAAAAAATAATTGTTTCAAATAGCAAAATGAATATCTTAATTCTCTAAAGGACATATCAGTAAACTTGAAAACAACGAATTGTCCTCAAATCTGGTAATCGTTAACTTTTTACAACAATTTCAAGATACCATTGATTTTATGGTAATGTTACGGAAGTTAATGCTTGATCAAGCCTTATTATTTTTTAAATAAAGTTGAATTTGATCAATTTTCGTTTCTGATGTTCAGTAAGAACGCTAAAGTATGATTCATGAAGTCTCGCATGAATCCGAATTTAAATTAAAATTTCGGGAAATATATCGTTACGGAAGTTAATTCCCAGCAATAAAAGTTAAAATTCTCTTCAATAGTTAAAATCAAAGTTTGTTTTAGGATATTAAACAAAAATATGAAGCATTTCGCTCCCAAAATAATAAAAAAAAAATTCATACTTTTAATGCAAAACTTTCCTGAATTACCGTTACGGAAGTAAAATTTTTAAGAGAGACAACTGTTTTTGTCTAATTCATTTTGTTATGTCGAAAATGTAATCGTCTAAAATAGCTGACTTGCAACTAGAATCGATGATATAAGGTTCCGTGGTCACTTTCAGATAAGTTTCAGTTCTTTTTGAAATCTGCATTCCATGCGTAAGATTTAAAACAAAATCGTTACGGAAGTTAATCGATTTTAAGCGACATGCTTATGATTTCGCATGAAAGGGGATCCATGCATTTCTTTGCGAGAAGTTGGTTGATTTCTTTAAATATAGGATAAAAGACGTTTTTTAACATTCATTGCAATCTATTTGGAACGAATTTACGGCTAAAAATTTCATCTTGAAATTTGTAAATAAATAAGCGACATTAAGATTTGCAGTTGAATACGTTTTTCAACATTACATTATGTTCATATCAAAACTTTGACTGCATATATATCGGTGAAAATTTACAAAACTATGTGTGTATGTTAAGTCTCAGAGTTGAAATCGACCTTTGAATTTAAAGTTAAGATATTACAACAGAAAATTTGTAAGCGACATAAAAATTCTTAATTGGTCATGTTTTTGTAGAATGACTGATTTATGGTAAATCCTTATTTACCTTTCAACTCAATCTTTCTTCATGGATATTATATAAGATAAGATAATGGATATTATATAAGATAAGATAGGAAATTAAAATAAATGTAAATATTTTGGTTGTTTTAGAAATACACTGCCCCCCACTTACTAGAAAAAATAAAAACCTTTCATACACTTGCACCAAAGGATTTAAGTTTCAAAGCGAGTGCTCACTCATTTGCCCTCCTGGATTTGACATGCAATTACAGAGCAGAGTGAAACTATGTAGAGATGATGGACGATGGCAGGGATCGTTCCCACAATGCTTTGGTGAGGACAATTCCTTAACTATATTTTTGTTACTCTTGCTGTTGTTGTTTTATAGTTTATTGTTTTTCAGTCATATTCTATTAATCCATTGAAAGTTTTTATGTAATTCAGATATATCAAAACTAAAGATAGAAAATTGCAATCCCTTTGTCGATGGTACAGCGGATATAAATTCTACTAAAGGAAAAATATATTGGGATGAACCAGTTCTATATGATAATGAAGACAATGACATTATCTTACACAAGTCTGAAAATATTTCCCCTGGGGACGTTATAGAGACTGGAACACGTCAAATAATATATACTGCTGAAGACAGGACGGGCAATAAGGCAACACCATGCATAGTTACACTTTCAATGAAAAGTAAAGATATTTTAAGCCACTTTTTATTCGTAAGGAACTTTATTTTTATGCCCCCGTATCGAAAATTCGGGGTATATAGTTTCCTGTCCGTCCGTCTGTCTGACTGTCTGTTTGTCTGCAAAAACTTTAACATTGCTCATAACTTTTGATTGGTTGGAACTATGGCTTTCATATTTCACATGTGTATTCCTTGTGACAAGACCTTTCTTTTAAGACCAACAACTTTGACCCTTTGACCTTGGAGTTTGACCAACTTTTGAAAAACTTTGCCAATGGCTATAACTTTTAAACGGTTAATGCTAGGGCTTTCATACTTAACATGTGTAATCCTTTTGACAAGTCCTTTCTTTTAATACCAACAACTTTGACCATTTGACCCTTGACCTTAAAGTTTGACGTACATTTGAAAAACTTTAACATGGCTATTTATTTTTGAACGATTAATGCTAGGGTTTTCATATACTTCATATGTGTAATTCTTTTGACAAGACCTTCCTTTGGATACCAACAACTATGACCCTTTGACCTTGACCTTGGAGTTTTTTTTCTATTTTTGAAAAACTAACATTGACCATATCTTATGAATGGTTGGTGCTAGGGCTTTCATTATTCACATAAGTAATCCTTGTGACAAGCTCTTCCTTTAGATACCAACAATTATAGCCCATTGACCTTGAAGTTTGACACACTTTTGAAAACTTTAACATTGGCTATAACTTTTGAACGGTTAATGCTAGGGCTTTCATGCTTCAGATGTGTAATGCTTTTGAAGAGACCTTCCTTTGGATACCAACAACTTTGACCCTTTAACCTTGACCTCGAAGTTTTTTCTATTTTTGAAAAACTTTAACATTGGCCATATCTTATGAATATGTCTTATCTTAGAATATACATGTATCTTAGTATATTAACAATATCTTAGTTTTCAGAACTTGTGCCCGATCCCATTGTATTTATGAAGGACAAGTGCACTTAAGCAATGCTTAATGGGCCCTTTTCAGTGCCGTATTACTTTAGAATATATTTCGAAATTGTTCTCTTCTGGTAATAGTTAAATACAAGTGGATACTTCTAATTAAAATCACGTTAAAACATCACCTAAATCAGCATGGATTTGAAAGAAATGAAGATTTTTAAATGCCTATAGACACCCCAAATCCGGAAAAGTCGTACCGAACCTATTTTGAGTTTCGTTTATTTAAATCAAGGGGAGGGGACATTTAAATCGGACACTTGAACAATCTGATGGTGGATCAGTGACGGGCGCGTTTGCCGAATGATACTTCTTGCGCTATTTTACCTGAGAAAAAACATTTGAAATAATGCAATAACATTTAACATTACTTCCTTTAAATTTTAAAGTGAAAAAAGAGTATTTAGGTTACTTTCAATACCGGTACCATTGTCTTGCACGAATGTTAAAAATGTTTGACGCTTTTATGTAGGGTGACATTTTAGCGACACTAAACCCTTCTAACCCACCTGTGTTCCTAAAACCAAATACATACAAACTTCTCTATGCGGCACGACTTTGATATAATGATACAAAACGTGGCTATCTTTTACAGTGAGCACCTTTGAGGAATGTTTACCTGGGTAGAACTCACGTGACTACCGGTATTTTAAATAATTTATTCCACGGGTGGGTTCAACATAGGTCACACAGGTAAATAGCTCTCGCTTGCTACAGGAAAAAACATTGAACTTTTCATACTTTTTTAATATTTTAAGTACAAGCCTAATTTTGTACAAATTTCCTACTTTCACACAAGTTTTATAAATGTATAATGCGTTTTTTGTCATTCGCACAAGTTTGTACAACGTTAGGCTGACAGTAAACAAAAGCTTTGAAATGATGACCGTCCTCGATTTACTATAGAAAATCACGAATGTTGGCTGACCCCTACCACATTGTATGGCTTTGCTCTTTGTATATTCATAAATTTCAGCAATAAAATTTGTTGGATCTAGATATCAATTAATGATCTGAGATGAAAAATTATGCTTAATTTAATTCTTCATTTTTTAACATTTTACCGGGGCCCATATGTGCACTCGTTCTTACAATAAAATAAATTCAAATCAGTCTTATGAATGGTTGGCGCTAGGGCTTTCATTCTTCACATCCGAAATCCTTGTGACAAGACCTTGCTTTGAATACCAACAACTATGACCCTTTGAACTTGACCTTGGAGTTTGACCTACTTTTGGAAAACTTTAACTTTGGCCATTTTTTAACAGTTGGTTCTAGGGCTTTCTTACTTCATATATGCAATCCTTGTGACAAGAACGTTCTTTGGATACCAACAACTTTGACCCTTTGACCGTGGCTTTGGGGTTTGACCTACTTTTAAAAACTTTAACCTTGGCCATATCTTTTAAACGGTTGATGCTAGAGCTTTCATATTCCACATGTGTATTTCTTGTAAGAAGGCCTTTCCTTGTGCACCATTAATTTTGACCATTTGACCTTGACCTTGATGTTTGACTTACTTTTAAAAAACTGTAACCTTTCCATATATTTTCAATGGTTGCTGCTAGGGATTTCATATTTCACATGCATGATCCTCGGTATATGTTCCTCGGTACAAGACCTTACTTTGGGTACCAGCATACTTGATTTGCATTTGAGAAAATTTAACTTTGTCATAAGTTGCCATACGGGGGCATCAGTGTTTCACAAACACATCTTGTTCGTGATATAATTGAACGAGATCATCATCTGTTTGAAGGAATTTCATAGTTGGTATATTTGTATTATCAAAGATTATTTACAAAAATAGACAAAATTTGCAAATAAGAATTTTCTTCTTAAACAACAAATATGTATCTCACAAAAATGAGATTTTGATATCAAGTAACATATATTGCTAGAGACGGGACAGGCAACATGGCAAAGCCATGCAAAGTGACACTCTCAATGAAAGGTAATGACAACGTTTATGTTTTTTTTTAAGTTTTAAGCGCATTTAGACGAGACCGTTTGGTTGCAGAAATTCCATTCTCGGTGTATTTGTAAAATCAAAGATTGAGAACGCAATGACAAAATTCGTAATTTTTTTTTCTCACTTATAAATACTCCGCCGAAATATGGTTGAAATATTGCCGACTCGGCGTAAAACAACAATTATCAATCATATAAATAATACCAAATAACTATCTCGCGGAAAAGGTTTTGGGAAATTTGTTCTTTACAATACAGCATATGAAGCAGTGGTGTAAAACATTCCCAAACCTCTCAAAAGTACAACTATTATTTTTCTTTCAATTTTATTACATACATACTGTAAAATCACATATTTTCGAGGGGTCTAGTTTTTTCACCTTGAGGAATAAATAATAGTTCGTGAGCTTTTGATTTCGTTGATAAGAAGTGTCGAATTGAAGCATTATAGATCTGAAATTTTTCGTTTCATGAAAGACATGAATTAATGGTCTCTTCATACCATGAAAACCATAAAAATTAACCCCCCCCCCCCAAAAAAAAAAAAATTATTTGACTTCACAGCAGAATGTTCAATTTTTTGACAAATTATTTATTGTTTATTTATTTATTTATAATTATTTATTTTTATCGCCTTAGTACGTAAATATTCAAGTCTGTTATTCCGATCAAAGACTTTCTGGCATCTGTAAAACGTAGGATTGATTGATTGTATATTGTTTCACGCCCCGCTCGTTAATTTTTCACTCATATAGAGACGTCACCATATACCGGTGAATGGCTTTAAATTTAGTGCTTTACTCGGCACTCAGGCCCATTGAGCAGTGAGGGTTCTTTTTCGTGCCAACGCCTACCGTGACACCGGACCTCGGTTTTTAAGGTCTCATAAGAAAGACCCGCAACCTTCACTCCAAAGTGCCGAGCGCTTGGCGAAGGACAACTCCCTACCTATTTTTTTTTTTTTTTACTTAGGTCAGTCGCGGCCATGATTCGAACACGACCTTCCGATTACAGGAGCGAGCGCTCTACCGAATGAGCTACCGTGATGGTCTAAAGCGGTAGGAAAGACAATATTTAAGTTTGGTGAGACTCTTATAACCTTTACAAGGTTGTTTATATCAAAAATGGTTTTCTTTACAGTGTTACTTTGTCCTTGTTTTTTTTGGTGATAATTTTCTATCTGTGACGTGTCCAGGGGGATATCGATATGGTGGACAATGCAGATTTTCATGTAGAATTGGGTCTGCATTGGTTGGACCCAACATCACGAACTGTGTCAAAAGTATGAATGGAAAGTATGCCTACTGGGATTTTGGAAAAACACAGCCCCACTGAGAATGTAAGATTGGTTTAAAACATTTTGCTGAACATATCTTTCTTTTAGTCATTCAAAAATCAATAATAATCTACTTTGCTTCTTGTTTCTTAACTTGATCCAAATGAAAACAAATTCTTCTTTATTTTCTTTGTCAAACTACAATGTCAATTTATTTCTGATTTACCTTTTTGAATTGCCGTCCACGTGGCGCAATCGTTACAGCGTTTGTTCTATATGCGCGGTGTAAGGAGTTGATCCTTGCGTCGTTGGTTCGAATCCCACTGCGGGAAAAAATCTCGGTAGGGAAGTTAAATAACAAACAAACAAAAACTTTTAAATTTTCAGAAACAAATTTTTGAAGATATCATCTTTATTACTATAAGGGATTAATAAAACTAGGATAAATTACATATTAATCTGGATTTCTCGAAAAGAAAAGATTTTATAAAACTCTAAATTCAATTGCTGGATTAAAAATAAAAATTGATAAATTTTATAAATAATATTCACACACTGGTAATAGTATACAATAGTTTTGAATAGGATTTTACTATGTTCTTCTTAAGATTGAAATATTTTTTGCGTTTCAAAGATTTTGATTTGTAACTACATGGTTTTGAGGTAAACGATCTTTATAATGTTTTGCAAACTAAATTTTCCTTGCAGTTTATAGGGGTTGTGTAAATGGCTCTACCCCACAAAAGAATGGCGCTATTCCCTGTGCTTCGTGCTTGGATGGAAAATTTTGCCAGGTCCAGTGTCAGAAGGGCTATTACATTGAACCAGGATATCCCATTACGCATTGTTCAAGTAGATTTACACTTATACTGTTAATTTATGCGTATTATAAATATCTAATAAAACATGTCAAGAAAAGTCAGAAAGACATTGAAATTTTCGGATAAAGTCATTAACGAAAAAAGAAACATATTTGTTAAAACATGTATTTTTAAACAGGTGGAATCTTCTAGAAATAAGTCATTCAAAGCAAACATATTAGACAGTCGTATTTTAAAAAATAAATTGAACTGAAATTACAAAATATAAGAACAATGTTATTTTCAAATTTGAACAAATTCAAATTGTACATAAAAATCGATCCCGATCAGATTACTAACTTGCTGTCTATCTGATGCAGTTGCCATGGAGAGATCTATGTAATTTACTCATTAAACTTTATATTTTTTGAAATCGTTATGTATTTCGATTTCATATGATTTCGGTAAGATCACTTAAATCGGGGTTTGTTTACGTAAAATGAAAATTATCATTTTTTTTTTTTATTAATTTGAAGCATATTTTTCTATTTTATTTCTTGAAGATTTTATCAAAGGAGTTTAAAAATATGAACAATTAATATTTCTTTAATTTTTTTTTTTATTTTAAACAATTACATTTGTTTCATGTTTTAATAGATATACTATTATATATTGTGCATGAACGAACATAACATCTTAAACTCTAAATCGTATTATTTTAAACCAAGGTAGTTTTAACCTTAACCTTTCTTTCACCCCCTTTTCCTGAAAAAAATCCTTAATATAATTCAAAAATTAATTCTTTTTCAATCTTCAGTCTTTATTCAGTCTTTCAATACTTAAATCATGCGATCTAGTAAATGAAATATCGGTGTAGTGTTCCTATTTAATTTAACGCTTGATAAAACTTTAGATAGGGAAATGCCAGTTATGAAGTGTCAATTTCCACTTTATTCTATGATAAGTGTCTTTAATTTTGTTTTACATGTACCATCCTTGTTCCTTATTTGATTTCTTCTGACACAAGATATTAAAGGACTTCCTTCACTGAGGGACACATATTATTAAAATTACTGCATAATCCATAATCCGAAAATGTTAATTAAAGAATGAATTTAACAGCTACCCATTTTATACGGTATAAACTGGGTTGGGGCAGTTTACGCTTTATGAACCGCGAAGCAGTTTATTAAAAAAAGTTAGCTGTTCCAACCCAGCTTATACCCATATAACTTTTGGGTATCGCTATCAAATTCATTCATTAAAGTCGTTGTGACTTTGGCAACACAGATTATACGATATAAACTAATTTTTTATCCAAGTCAAATTACTCGTTGCAACCAAAATTAAATTATTTAAGCGTGCAGCACAGTTAAGGCTTCAAAAAGGGGCGGGGCTTAATTTATACATGAAGTATCAACTTACTTCATGCATAACTAACAATTCTTAAAAATACCACAAATAAAAAAACTCTGCTATTTTGAACTGTAGGGGGCATTAAACTACATCTAAACTTACTACAACATGCTGCTTTGTCGTTAGTTAAAACCTTCATAGCAGGGTACGTACAGTATAAGCAAGTCACTAATCGCGATGCAATTGTAGATCTGACGTAATTCTGTAAAACCTGACATAGTTTGTATGCGGTGAGAGGAAGGTCAAGTAATATTTTCAAAAGGAAAATGCATTTTATTTAAGAAATGAATTTAATAGCTACCTATTTTAAAACGGTATAAACTGGGTTGGGGCCGTTTACGCTCCATAAACCGCGAAGCGGTTTATCAAAAAAGCGTAAACTGCTCTTATCCAGTTTATACCGTATAAATTAGGTAGCTATTAAATTCATTCCTTACAATTTAATTTTCATTCATTTGGTGTATGAAAAAAAGATGTTTGTCCTTGAAAATTGACCCCAATTTGTACAAAATTTGAATGTAACGTCAGGGCGGATTGATACGTTTTTGACGTAAGTCATTTTGATATAGGCAACCCATTTTATACGATATAAAGTGAATTTTTTATTCAATCAAATACAGCGTTACAACTAGAATTAAATTAAAATAGAATAAAATATTATTTCAGATATTTAAGCAGCCATTAACTTGGAAACAATGTCTTTTGAATTATTTTATTAACATATTTTCCGTACGTTTTCTTGTTATCTGATACTGCCGTATATTTGTACGCAGGTATATTGGAGGGTAATATAAGGGTCTTAATAAATTAATCTAGTGCAAGGAAATCACTCAATGGATCAAAGTAAGCTTTTACAAATAAACTCTACAAGTATTAAGCTTTTTTTAAAATGCTGAGATACTTTTGAAATCTTGAAAATGAATTAGTTATTTCTATTGTAATGCAGTTGACCAACAAAAAAGTTGGCATGGGTCATACAAATAAAACTCCTTCTGCCCCGCACTATTGAAATTTAAAGGTGACCTCAATATTCAAGTATATGAACTAAAATTACGTGACTGTCACATCGCGTGACAAGTCTAAAAAATAGAAAATCTTGAAGCCCTGAATATGTAGTTAATAACCATGATTACATTTGTCTGATATTAAGTACTAAAAAGAATTGCCATCCTGATTAAGAACGTATTTTTATCACAAATATCGCCATTATTTCCATTTCGCATCTTGGCATGATTGTAATAAGCATTGAGTCCTCTACCAAAATTGAGAAATTCGTGGCCCCTGGGTCAGGGGTTCCGTTGCTAGGGCGGGGCTCTGTTGAACATATAGCGAAAATGCATTATTTCTTTTAAAAATCTTCTCCTCTGCTCCTGGGTATTAAGGAAACAAATTAAATTCATAGTTATGATGAGGAAGGGTGCCTCTTCCTAATTTGTGAAATAAATTCATGGCCCCTGGGTCAGGGGTTCTGGATTTAAGGTGAGACTCTAATGGTTATGTTAGTGAAAATACATTAATTCTTTGAAAATCTTCTCCTCTGCTCCTGGGTATTAAGCCGATGAACTAAGTACATAGTTATGATGGGGAAGGATGCCTCTTCCAAAATTGTGGATTTCATGACCCCTTGGTCAGGGGTTCTGGTGTTCGGGAGGGGCTCTAATAGTTATATTAGTGAAATGCATTAATTCTTTAAAAATTTTCTCCTCTGCTCCTGGCTAGGAGCTGATGAAGTAAGTACAGAGTTATGATGAGAAAGAGTGCCTCTTTCTAAATTGTGAATTTCATGGCCCCTGGCACAGGGGTTCTGGAGTTAAGGTGGGGCTCTAAAGATTATATTGTGAAAATGCACGAATTCTTTGAAAATCTTCTCCTCTGGTCCTGTGTATTAAGGAAACAAACTAAATGCCTAATTATAATGAGGAAGAGTGCCTCTTCCAAAATTGTGAATTTCATGGCCCCTTGGTCAGGGGTTCCGTAGAGGAAAATAAATTAATGTTTCATGGCCCCTGAGTCAGGGGTTCTGGTATTTTGACAGGGTTCTATTGATTAAACAGCAGAAATGCATTTAATACTTTGAAAATTTTCTCCTCCGCCCCTGAGTATTAAGCAAACAGACTAAATGCAATAATATAAATGTAAATGTTTAAATATAAATATAGGATCCCAAGAAGATCACTTGGGTCTCATTTGTTACAATGAGTAAAGGTAATTTTACCAGATTTTTGAAATTCTTCGGCAACATAGCTTCAATTATCAGTTAATTTTGTTTTACTCTAATACTTCTATGGATCCTTTATTGTGTTGTATTATACTCAGGTGACCGTTAAAGCCCTTGGGCCTCTTGTTTTTGAATATGTTCTGTAAAATTCTTTGAAAAATCACATCTTTGTGGGCGATGCCTGTGGACAATATTATCTGAAAGAAAACTCCATTGAAAAGTGGTGTTTCTGCAACTTTTTAAGAAACTACGGGAAAATGCAGAAGTTCATGAAAACACAATTTACATTTAGAGGGTAATGTGAGAAAAGTGATTTCTATGATCTTTCTGCATGTATTTAATGATTCAGAAAGCATGAATTTTTTTCACATTTTTACATCACTTTCATTTTTAAGAAAAACACAGGGCAATGTTTGTAATGAAACCGTACCTTGTTCTTTATATTTAATAGGCAAGTAATTTAACTTCAAAAAAAAGAAACATGGCATATTATTACTCAATATTGCTATTATTTCCCTTGGTCTTATTTCATAAAAATAAAAATGGATACACATGTATGCTTGGTTGCTTGATAAAGTGGTTGTATTGTTTACTGGAAATGTAAGCTCTAATTCAGACGCATTTAAAACTTAAAATGTGTAAGGTTTGATTTATGTTTTAACAATCAGAAAAATGAAATCTGTTAAACTGATATTGTTGTAAAACCCTTAGTGCTCGTGTTAAAACATGAAATAGTATTGCGTAAATTCTGCGATATTTCAAATATATAATGGCACTCAGGGCCATTGAGCAGTGAGTGATCTTTATCGTTCCAACGTCAACCGTGGCAAGGGACCTCGATTTTTAAGGTCTCATCCGAAAGACACTTGACTTTCATTTCTAGTGCTGCGCGATTGGCAAAGGAACATTCAATACCTATGTTTACGTCTTATATATGACGCAGCGCGGCGAACGAGAATCAAACTACGGGCTCGTGATCACGAAGCGAACGCCCCACCACTAGGGTACCGTGACCGGTCTCAGTGCACAATTGAAAATGTTAAGGTATGTTCTTAAATAAATTTACACTTTTTTTGCTGAATGAATTTTGATGTTTTTCTATGATGACTTCGTCAATAATATTTAAAACAAAAAGCTAATATTCAACACCTTAAACACAATGTTCTTTCACCTTCCAAGTAAACGAAAAATACAATATTTATCTTGTTGATCTTTTCTACAGATACCATGAGAAGCTTCTACGTGAAGGAAGAGGGAAGAGATCAGTATTAGAAATTGTTGTGAAGTGTGTTATATATTCAGAGAACTTCCAGACAAAACAGAGTTTTGCAGACATTCAAAGAAGTATGATGAGCGTCATAATAAATAAAAGTTTACAAAAAATCCCTCACTTACTGTAGACGAAATTGTGATCTTGACAGCAATTGATCTCTCTGCAGCAGTCTGAACAAGTAAGTGTCTATATAAAACTTTCCCAACTTCCTCGTGTCGTAAAAACATGTCGGTTAAGTAGTTAACTTATAAAGTCGATGTGAAGTCATATTCTTTATCGTTATAAAAACTGTTTTGATATAATGTACTAGCAAGGCTAAGCTTTCGTTTTCGATAAGGTGGCATAACACATTTGGCATTTTAAGTGATTATCTGTTGTTCTGTATTTTATTTTACTTTTTTGGCAATGATCGTTAAAGAACTAGTTGTTGTTGTTGTTGTTGTTTTTTGTAATTCGTATGCATATTTTCATATGGACATTGACCAAAGTATCCATAATTTTGGTTTTTATTTAGTGGTGTGTCCAGTGGGGACATTTTTCAACTCTTCTATTCAGACATATCCCCAGTGTTCACTTTCAGCCAATAAAGGGACAACCTCTATGCCTTCAATATCCCCATGAGACGACAACAGCACAAGTTGGATATAATTGGCACTGTAGTGTCAAAGTACCCAAAGAAGAGAGATTTTCCTCCAGTTTAATTACTTGTCCACTCAGGGGTTTGTCACATTATTTTTTTACCCTTCAGAGGCCAGTTTACCGGGTCTTTGGTCACTGAAAGGGATTGGGCCTTGTTCTCCCTGTCCATCCAAGAGGTTTCTATGCAGATGATTATGATACCTTCTTTTATACTGCTTGTCTTTTGTCTCCATTAAGACATCTCTATTCCATGGCAGCATTAATGCTAATGATTGTTCATGTGAGATACTTTTAACGGTTTCTTTTAATTATATGTTTATGTTTCTTATAATGCAGTTCTTTGCTATCAATTCTATCAAGATGTCAAACATAGAAAACTCAGATGATGCAACCACTTATATGTGAGTGTTTTTTTTTTTTTTTTTTTTTTTTGAAATGGAGGAGGTTTTTGTCTTATTTCAATACTCTTGATATATCTTTTACAATTAATAAATAATCTTGTGTTTCATTCTGTAGTCTTTGGCACATTCCTGGGTTCCACACAATCAAAGATTATTGGTGACATCGATTTAACTAATGAGGAAGATAAAGTCATTCTCTGTGTATGTCTGCCTGGCTGAAACTTCCAACCTACCTCAATAGGATTCAAAACGATGAAAGATGACTGAAAACAATTTCAGTCGAGCAAAGACACGATTCTGAGTAGAAAGAAATAGTTCAAATCCTTTGAAATGTAAAAGACTGATTTTCAGATTAAAGGTTAATTTCACTATTTTTTCATCTTAGCAAAAAAAAAAATACCCCGGTAGATGAAGTAAACGAACAATAATCGAATCTTTAAAAAAACTACAAACAACACAAATCTGTGAATAGGATGTTAAGTTTGAACCCTTGGAAATACCACATGTAGGAATAGATGCTTAAAAGAAGTAAGCATCGCCTGTCGACAGGTCATACCTGTCTTGAGCCCCAGGTATTGATCAAGTAGACGGAATATTCCAGTTTAGTAAACAAACAAAGGCCTAAAAATTGTATTAAATATGCCATTCAAAATACGATCCAGTTTGTTTTTGTATTTGCTTACACGGCCATTATAACCACCATAGAATTTATGCAATTCGCTGTCTTAAAACAATTTTATTGAAATCCCTGTAATATAACCTTATTTTTAGTAGCCTGTCTCGGTTTAAACTTGGATCGTATTTAGAACATCCTCTTAAGTATCAAATAAGTTGGGAGATATATTCACAAAGTGCAGGTGATATTGGAATATTACTACATAAAAAAAAGAAATGATGGCGATGGAAAAGCCTAAGCCATCTTGTCATATAGTTTAATTATTAGTTGACTCTCATCATGTCTAGTCAGTAAAACATCCTTGTACAAAGATGTGGCAGACTCCGTGGTGTCTTTGATTTCAAGCTTTGTAGAAATAGTTTTTGTTTGTTTGTTTGTTTGTATGTTGTTTAACGTCCCTCTCGAGAATTTTTCACTCATATTGAGACGCCAGCACTTGCCGGTGGAGAGCTGCAAATTTTGTCCTATGCTTGGCACTTACGGCCATTGAGCAGTGAGGGATCTTTATCGTGCCAGCACCTACTGCGACAAAGGGCCTTGGTTTATACGGTCTCATTCGAAGGACCGGTCTCCACGTCCCACAGTTGGATTCGAACCCGTAAGGATTAACTCCTTACTTCGCGACCCTAGAGTACACGCTCTAACCACTGCGCCACGCCGGCGACAACAAAAACAGATCTACTTATAAAGGAGCACATTAAATGTCCATCTGAATTCCAACAGATTGTTGCAAGACCTGGTCTCCAAAGACTATAAAGATGTTGTCAATGAGGAACTCCAGCAATTTTCTAATATCAACCTCTAAATATAGAATCAGAGTGAGTTTTTAGATGACCAATCACAAGATATGAAAATTTCCGACTTCCAATATTATTGAAGAAGCAGTTGTCTATAATATCAAAAAAAGCCTAGCTTTTAATATATCGTTTTAATCAATTCTCATTCATATTTTCTTTTGAGTTTACCAGTACTTCATGCCATGCTCAAGAGTGAAACTTTCCCGGGAGGTCAGGCTCTAGAGTGAAACTTTCCTTCGGGGGAAGTTTGACTCCAAAGCAGCGGTTTCGTTCTAGAGCCACACTTCCCTGAGGAAGACCTAATCTACTAGTAGTTATAGAGTCAAACTTCCCCTATAGCAGGTCTTCGCCCTTTATTTTTATCTTGCTTTAGCTAACACTAGTTCCCCCCTGGTGGACCTCTGACTCCAGAACAGGAAAACCCAATGTGAAGTTTCACTCTAGAGCCGTAGAAAGTAATTTTTCATCATCAGGTGTCATAAGTTTGGGATATTCAAGTACATGTATGTATGCTCCCCTGGTACAATTTTTTGTGTTTATGTATGAATTTAAATCAATGATAGCTTCAAACTATTTCATTTCACTGTTTATTCAAGACATCTCCATTGAGGCTAACTCTAGAGTTCTAGGGGAGGTCTCGCATACACTGTAATCAGACTGGACATCAGGCATAGCCTATATAAGAGCCCTCTCCAAGTATGTCAAGGTTACAAATGTTAAAAATTGAAAACTGAATCATGGGTGATGGTTTACAATTAATGATGAAATTGTTCATAATAAATTATATTAATTGTTTTCCTAAAATTTACAATATAAATCACAATTACAACTCTTTTCTTTAGATCTCTTTGTTTATTATTTTCAATAGCAATCTGTACATGTATAGTTACAAGACATCCATGCAAGGCGCAACACCTGTTAATCACTCGATATTAATTTCTAATGTAAACTTGAAAGAAATGAAAAAGATAAATTATACACAAGAGTTATTACCTAGCATATATTCTCATTATTCAATAAAATGAGAACACAATAAAAGAATGCAATAAACAACAAAACCAGAAACATATGGGTTTTTTTATTTCTCAAGTTTTCTTTCTTGTGATTTAATAAAATAAATGCGTCATCAAAATAAAAAATAAATATATCTAGATTTTTAAATTCCCAATCAGAAATGAAAGTTTCATGAAAATCGAGCGAGCCATTTTCGGTGATGGTCAGGCTTTAGATCGGAGGGTAATTAGTCGAATTTTGGGTAAGCAAAACTGTTTTTTTTTTTGTTCTGTTCTGGTGTTTATAGTCATATTTGCTACCGAATTAGTGCAATTATTGGCCATTTTTGTGAAAAAGTGACTTTTCTCATAATGAGTGACTCAAAGTTTAAAGGTGAGAACTCCTCACAGGTACGAAATCCTGGTTTAACGTCTCTACCCTCAGCGGTCACTGGTGCGTTACGCCACATGTTCGTTATCGATACCAGCTATCTATAACGGAAAAGACGGACTCTTTTAATACACTGCAAGAGTCGTTAAATAACATGCAGAAGGATTTATGGAATGAGGATGGTGTAGATGACATAATTAGGTACATCGCTCAACAGCATGAAGACAATCAATCTGAAATTGAAACCCTAAATCTGGAAAATATTACTCTCCGTAAGGAACTTCAACTGTTGAAATCAATTGTGGTAAATCTGGACAGGAAAGTGACACAACAAGCAAGTGAGATTGTAGACCTGAGAGGAAGATCGATGAGGGATAACATTCTAATCCATAATCTGGCAGAAGAGGATAACGAGGATCTTAATGCAAAAGTTCGCCAGCTCATTAGCGATCATCTAAAACTGGACGTCAGTTTTATTAGAATTCATCGTAACGGACCGCGAATGCCAGGCAATAAACCTAGAACAATTACTGGGAAACTTTGCGAGTTCAAAGATAAGGACCAGATTTTTACATCCCAAAGAGCTTTGCGGGAAATGGACAAAAAAGAAAATAAGGAGAAAAGTACTTTACCTTTTTACATTACACCTCAAACACCAGTGCAAATTAACGAAAGTAGAAGGTGACTTAAGGAGATCAATACACAGTACAGGATGAACAAAATAGAGACAAAGATAACTGGGAATAAAGTGGTGTTTCCTAACAAAAATGTGTATCGGGAAAGGTTACAACGCCTAGAGCTGAAGATCTGCTCTTTGTGGACGAGGCAGAAAGGAAGAGGAAAAGTTAAAAGAGATAGAGGTGGTGATAAGTTGCGGTGTCAACAAAAGCTAGTACGCATGCAGAGGTCAGACACTTTTACAAAAAAGTCATGAGTGACCAAGACTTCGCCAGCGCGCACCATAACGTCCTAGCTTGCACAAGGGAACATCCGCGGAGGATACTGCGACGATGGAGAATACGGCGCAGGTAGGAGAGTTGTCCGGCTTTTAGGAGATCAAAGTGCCACCAATGTCGCATTTGTCATTTCTAGGAAATGGGGATACCATATTGGACCAAGGCGCTTCGATATCATATGTGATACCGTGCTCAGTGCTGCCAAAAAATTCTGAACAGCTAAAGGAATGAATTAATTCACACCCGCATTTACTGTTACAGAATAATTTCTTTTGATAATGTCTCGTTAAACTTATTAAGTACTATACATACCTTGTTTCTATAGGTGTATGAGAAACCGCTTATACATTTATGCATACAAGTTAAAGTGACACCGTGACGGAAAAACGGGAAATTTGACGAAAGTAGAATTTTTGCATGACACATGCAAATTTTGTTCAGTTCTTGAAGATATTAGGTTTCAGAAAATTACAGGTTTCAGAACCAAAAAAATCTACTTTTATGGAGGAAAATAAAAGTAAAAAAAAATCATTGTATAACCCAACACAAAAATATTGCTTCACTATTTCCTCTTTATTGTACGCATGCGCTGAAAAGTTGAAGAATTTACCATGGTGTCAATTCCATAGATATAAATGTCGGATGACCGAGAATTTTTATACAATCTTCAAAAAAGATTATCAGAACTTATTCCTAAATTTTGCTTGCTCCAATTCAATGTTGTTTACAAGTTTCACGCTAAAAATAAAGGACGCGTGACCTTGACATTGTTGTCATCGACGATAAAACCAAAGCGATAGATACAACATTTGTTTTTCCGGCACTTACATTTTGCAGTTTTTTTCTTGCTTTACAGTGCAGTAAAGTGTTCAAAACTTTGCTATATCCATATTTCACATAAATCTTTTGTTTTGTGATACAATTATCTTTAAAAAAAAAAAAAAACCACATGATTTTGACTCATTATGTAACTTTAATTCATGTAGATATATATGTATCTAAGTTTTCATACTATCTGTCATTATGCTTTATGTTTATGTTTCCTTTTTCTTGCCTTTTCTCGTAATTTAATTGCAATTCTTTAATTATTATTAATATTTTTTATTAGATATAGAATTGATTTTTTTATCCTTTTGGTAAAAAAGAAAAAATGTTTTAAATCTGTTTTCCCTCTTCTCCTGTAGTTTCCAAAAAGCTACAACGTTTTCTTTTTTTAAAATGTTTATTAAGTTTTTTGAATTTCTTTTCCACGTTCGTGTTTGACGTTGTTTTTTTCCGGAAGTGTATATTGTATCGGACATATTTTTTTTCATTATGTTGAAGTAATAAAGTCCAGTTATGAGGGGTAGAATAATATAAGTTGTTGATTAACTTCAGATAAGCCCGATTCCGCTATTTCCCTCTTCGTTATGACCACATCAGAGGCTACGAAACCTAATATTTGTAAATATGTTTCAATTTTGTTAAATTCTATCAGTTTCCTTCTTTTCCTGTTTACTTTTTTCACTTTTCGGGCTTGACAATACAAATTTACAACGCGTTTTATGGGGGACCAAGTTAAGAATAATCAGATAAAAATACTCCAGTAAACTGCCAGGGTCTGGGTGATAAAAACAAGATGTTTTAAATTACCTCAAAGCTAAAAAATATAATGTGTACTTTCTCCACGATACACACTTTACAAGTAGTGAAGAAAATTTGTTACAGTCACAATGGGGATACAAGGCAATTTTCAGTTCATTCAAGTCTAATTCTCGCGGGGTTGCAATACTTTTTAATAACAATTGTGAGTTGAAAGTACATAAACTTTGCAAAGATGACACTGGGAATTTTTTTTATTGTAGACGTGACTATTGAAGGTCTAAATTTTTTATTGATATTTATGGTCCAAAGATACTCCAATTTTTTACTCAAACTTTTGAAAAAGATTGAAGATTTATATTCCTCACAGTATATAATAATGGGCGGTGATTTTAATTTGATTTTGAATAAAGAGTTAGACTCTATGAATTATAAAAGCATAAATAACCCAAATGCAAGAGAAGAACTGTTAAATTTAAAAGATACTTTAAATCTGATAGATGTTTTTCGAGAAAATAATTCCCAACTTAGACATTCACATGGAGAAGGAAAAATCCAATTAAACAGACCAGACTTGACTTCTTCCTAATGTCTGAATATCTTTATTGCCCATGATACCAAACATAAAACATGACAACAGTTATCGTTCCGATCATTCTCCAGTAGTCGCATATTGCAAGCTAAATGAGTTTACAAAAGGAAGAGGTTTCTGGAAAATAAACATTTCTTTGTTAACAGATAACGATTATGTGGAATTGATTAAGCAAAAGATGACTGAGGTCAAAAGCCAGTATGCATGCCCAGTTTATAATATGGAAAGTTTATGTACTGTGAATGATGAAAATTTACAATTTACTATATGTGATAAATTATTTTTGGACACTCTACTAATTGAAATTAGAGGGAAAACAATCTCATATTCTTCTTTTAAAAAAAAGAAAATAAAAGAGCATGAAGCTGAGTTAGAAAAAGAGATGTTAGACCTGGAACAGAACATAACAGAAAATACTGCAAATGATCTAGCAAATAAACAAAAAGAAAATTAAAAAAAATAGAATAAATAAAATGAAAGGCCAGTGCATTAGATCTCGAGTGAAATGGGTTGAGGAAGGAGAAAAACCGACTAAGTATTTTGCTAGTTTAGAGTCTAGAAAATTATATCAGTAAACAAATCCCAAAAATTATTAGAGAAGATGGCTGTACGATATCCAATCAAGAGGATATTTTAAATAAAACAAAGAGATTTTATGAAAATTTATATAAAAAAGAGAGAATGTAAAAACAGATGATAGTATTTAAAATAGATTAAAAGATTATGGTATACTCAGACTAAGTGAAAGAGAATCAGCAAGTTTAGAGAAACCAATAACTAAAGAAGAAGTTTTATATTTTTTGAAATACGTGAAAAATGATAAAGACCTGGAGCCGATGGATTTACATGTGAGTTTTTAAGTTCTTCTGGAAAGATATTGGTACATTTGTGACAAGGGCAATAAATAATGCTAATGAATCAATGCAATTTTCAGATGCAAAAGATTAGGAATTATTACTTGTATACCAAAAGCAGGAAAACCAAGAGAATTTTTAAAAAAAAAAATTAGCGCCCCATTAGCCTTTTAAATGTTATAAATTAGCATCTGGGTGTATAGCGTAGCGAATAAAAAAAGTTTTATATAAATTAATACATAGAGATCAAACTGGATAAAAGGAAGATATATTGGAGAAAATATTAGACTGATTTTAAGAAATAATGGATTATACAGAATGCAATCAAATACCAGGACTATTAATGCTTATAGATTTTGAAGAGGCTTTTGATACTATCTCGTGGAATTTTATTTACGAAACTCTTGATTTTTTCAATGTTGGAACCTCGATTAAAAACTGGATGAAGACTTTTTACAGCAATATTAAATCCTGTGTCATACAGAATGGTATTATATCTAATTATATTTATCCAGAAAGGGGTTGTAGACAGGGGGATCCTATATCCCCCTATCTCTTACTATTATGTGCTGAAATTTTGGGCATTTTAATTCTCAAAAAAAATAGCTACTCTACAGCGAACACTGTAACCACTGCGCCACGCGAGCGACTAGTTGTTGTTGTTGTTGTTGGTTTTTTTTTTTTTTTTTTTTTTTTTTTTTTTTTTTGAAGTTAAGTGTGATTGTTTTTAAGTTAAGTGTGAATTAAGTTAAGTGTGAATTATTGCTGTGTAAATCACAAAGACTTGCACGTAGGCATATTTTTCATGAATCGCTAGTGCGCTTAATAAAATATGCTTAGGTGACAAGTCTATGTGATTTACGTACACACCAATAACTCACACAAAACTTTAAAAATTCCTTAAATGTTCACAACTACAATGATTCTTCTTTTCAATTTCAATGTTATTTGTGCTCTAGCTATTATAATTTCAGAGCCTTTGTCTGGAAACCAAAGCCAGTAAAATTTCAATCAAAGGGGGATAACTCGTGTGCGGAAACGAATTTCTGAAATGTTCTGCAGCATTTTAAAATGTTTGTAAAGTCAAAATGCTATGAAAATTTTGAATAAAATCCGTTCAAAAATAAGGAAAATATGAAACTTCAAAGTTGTCGTCTAGGAAGTAAAAAGAATAACTAGAGCAAAGTTCGTTGCAAAGCAACGAGTAGGTCTTCCGTTGGAGCTGCGGACAGAAAGTACTGATCTTGGGTCAAGGTCATTACACTTTCTTAGAAAAAAAGCAATTTCGAATGAAATATTAACTTCCAATGTTTCACCAGTAGTAAGACAATAGACAAATTTACAATTTCTCTCTCTGACCTTGTCACAATGACCTTGCATAAAGACAATACCAGTTTCCAGATAAGGTCAATCTCCATGTGTGGGTTTCCAACGACAAAGAATTAACACTTTTATAACAGTGACCTTGAACTTGTCTAAATGACCTTTGTCAAGGTCATGATACATCCTCAGTTGAAAACAACCTTTACACCAAGTATGAGTTTCCAGTGATTCTCAATTACAAAGTTTTACCCATAAAATCATTTTTAACTTTTTTGCCAGTGTCCTTTAACTTGCCAGAGAGACCTTCGATCAAGGTCATGACACACTCTTAGAGTATAAGCAAACTATGTGTCAAGTAAGAGCTTCCAGTGATTTCCTC